AAAGGAGGAGGCTGCAATGCTTGGTAAGAAATGTACGCATTATCCTGCCCATGTAATTGTAACCCCTCTGTACAGTATCTTCACAAATAAAATAAAATAAATAAAAAAAATTATCTTCAAAGAACGCACTTACCTAAAATTAAAGTAGGCCAATTTGCTATCCTTGCCTTCAGTCCTTGATGAAATATTTCATGAAGAAACATGATTGTTTCACTATAAAAGACAAAAAAGATACAATTTAGTCTCTGTAAAGTGCTTACTTTGTCAATAGAACCCAGTAAGTGCTTAAAGCATATTGTATATACAGAACACTAGTTTTATAGAGACTCCAAACTGTACAATAATAACATGGGTTATATTAGCCTTCATAAAACAATTTCTCTTTTATAGAACTGCAACAAAACCCAAAGAAAACTCCAACATAAGCCTTAAACAGTGGAACATAAGAAATATCAAACTGTTGTCATACCCTCTTCATCATTTAAAAGTGAGCTTTCTACTGTTAGAATGAAGGACTTCAACTGATAATCAGAAAATTAAAGTTATGATCCTTTCTCTTTTCATATTTGATTCTAGAAAATGCAAGGAAAGGTTTCTCTTTTATTGAAATGAGTTTTGACAAGGAGGGAAAAAATCCATAGCAAAAAAAAATCACAGAACTCTACTGTACTTTTAAGACAGTTAAGACAGAAATATAGCATTATCTTCTGAAAATAGTGGGGCCTATCCAGAGATACTAAAATGAGAATTATACATAAATTAAGGATCTAACATTCTAAAAGGGCTATGGATAGTTTCCAGAGTCAAATATAATTTGCTCTCTCTTAATTAGAATAAGCCATTGAAGCCTTTTCTGAAGGAAAACATAATTATGCTTTTCAGGGAGAGCTCTTGGTGTGTTGTGGGTCAAATTTCACAACAATAAATATCAGGATAAATTCTCCCTACTTCCAAAGAGTCCATTAAAACAAAAACAAAATTTGACACTGTGACTTTCTTCTTTTAAAGAAAGTTTAAGTAGTATGTGATGTTCAAGGATTTCAATCAAATGTACTTTAACAGGTATTATAAATTAGTCTTTCAATTGACTTCCATCCTCTTAGTCAGAGATGGAAGTGAGCTAAAATTACATTTCCCAGACTCCCTGGCAGCTACATTATGGATGTAAATACACTTCTACCAGTAGGTATATACACTTGACAAGACAAGAAAGATAGAAGTATCCATGTCCTTAGCTGCGCAGAAACTTCATTTTGATTGATAAGTCCTACATGTCAAGTTTCCATCCTATCTGTGGTGCCTCTGGGACTCATTTCAAGAAGTTTCTACCTATACCTCTAAGTTCTAAGTTTCCTATGATACCTGTAAGCTCCCTCCTACTCTCTCACAGTAGTTTTAAAGTTTTGGGTCTGATGTGAGGTCTTTGATCCACTTTGAATTGCTATTAGTGTCCAGTAACAGACAGGGATCCACTTTTAGTTTTCTGCATAAGGTTGCCCGATTTTCCCAGCATCAACGGACTAGGAGATCTTTATCAACAATATATCAGACAAAAGCTACACATCCAATATGTACAAAGAGCTCAAGAAACTAACCCCTCCCAAACCTAATAAACCAATCACTAAATGGGCAAAGAGCTAAGAAGAGACTTCTCAGAACAAGAGGTAAGAATGGCAAAGAGACACATGAGGAAATGCTCATCATCCATGTCCAATAAGGAAATGCAAATCAAAACAACTCAGAGATTCATCTCAACTCAGTTAGATTGGCCAACAGTGTGAATTTGAACAACAAATGTTGGCAGGGATATAGGGGAAAAGGAACCTTACTACACAGTTGGTGGGGATGTAAACTAGTACAACTACTCTGGACAGCTGTCTGGAGGTTCCTCAAAAAACTAAACATAGATCTTCCCTACGTCCCAGCCATACAACTGCCAGGTATCTATCATTAACATCATGAGACAGGATATAATAAAGACACCTGCACATCTACGTTCACTGCTTATACACAATGGAAATTTTAAACAGCCATTAGAAAGAAAAAATAATGTTATTTGTAGGGAAATGGATGGAACTAGAACAAATCATGGTAAGTGAGGCTCAGCAAGACAAATGGTGCATGTTCTCTCTCATCTGTGGAAATTAGGTCTAAAATACACTGGGATATGATAAGTTATACAAGAGTCTACATACTCATACATAGTGAGATCAATAAAGGATAATCTTAAGAGAGGAACACAAAGGCCCAATGCCTAAGTGTCTCTTCATATTTATATAAAATAATATACATGCTGAAACAAACTCCAAGATACAGAAACAAGAGGCCTCCTTTTTCTTTTTCTTCCTTTCTTTCTTTTACTATTTAATTCTTGATGACTCTGTCTTCTTTACCGTACGTATGGTGTATTCAAGTATATGTCTTCAGAAGGGTAGGAGGAGGGTACAGAATTCAAAGGAACAAGAGTGAAAACTTGCAGCCATGAATCTCAATGGATACAACTTGTGGGCAGAGACGGGTGGAGGGACTGGGAGAGAATAAAGGAACAGAAGCCACTATACAAAAGGAAATGTACTTGTTACCTGACTCATGTAACTGTAATCCCTCTATGTATCACCTCTATAATAACAATAAAGTAAATTAATAATAAAAAAGGAAGGTATAAGTAGATACCATTCTTTTGTTGTTGAAAGTCAGTAAAGGAGATGTATTGGGAGGGGAGGGGCAATTTTACCACTAAGCCTCAGCATTTTAGTTTCTGGTAACAAACTTCAGAGGCCTAAAGGCTGGGGGACTGGCCATGGTTCGTAGCCCATGGATCACATCTCTGATGTCATGCCTTTAAATTCAAGACCCTATAGACAGTGTTAATTCTCCACGCTTTCCAAAAAATTCTATAAACAGAGAATTTCCTCCAGTCAGAGAGAGCTTACTCACTTCTACATTGAAAACTAATTGATACATTCACTTTCATATTTTGATTCCTGCCTGAGTAATCAGAAAACAGATGAATTGATGCTATACATAATTAGGTAGATTGCTTTTAGTTAAGTATAAACTCTGTGTCAAAACTGAAAATAATGTCATGTAACATCAAATTGTCATGGTTTTACTTTACGATGTAACTAAATGATGTGCATTAGTAATAAGATGTTTTGCATTGATTGTTGTTATTTGTATCTACATTATATTTGTATCTTCTTAATAACTATTTTTTTGCATTGGTGACATGTACTAGGAATAAGTACTTATCTAGTTTGTTGTTGTTGTTGTTGTTTTGTTGGTCGTGGGTCTTGAACTCTGGGCCTGGGCGCTGTCCCTGAGCTCTTCAGCTCAAGGCTAGTACTCTACATCTTGAGCCACAGCTCCTCTTCCAGTTTTCTGGTGCTTAATTGGAGGTAAGAGTCTCACAGACTTTCCCTCCCAGGCTGGCTTTGAACCGCAATCCTCAAATCTCAGCCTTCTGAGTGGCTAGAATTACAGGCATGAGCCACCAGCGCCCACCATCTAGTATTTTTTTAAAACTGAAAATAATTGAACAGCCTGGAGCTTCACAAACAAGCAAGGAAAGATAATCTAATTAATAACATTTATGACAACTAACACCTTGTAAGCCACTCTTTAAAAGTATACATCTTCAAGCTACCTACTATGTAATCCTAGCTACTTGTGAGTCTGAGCTCAAAATGATTACAGTTCAACATCAGCCTGGGCAGAAAAGTTCATTTGAGATCTTTTCTCCATCAATAGCTGGTACAGTGGCATGCATTTGTCATGCTAGTGACATAGGAGGCTGAGACTAAGAGGATCAAGGTTCCAGGCCACCCCAGGCAGAAAAGTCCATAGGACTCCATTTCAGTGGAACACGCTCTCTTCTGCATGAATCATACTTTTCTCCTCTATTTATCATTACCTATTTATTTTGTTTTTGTTCTGGAGATTGAACCTAAAATTTCACACATTTAGACAAAAGCTCTACTGTGGAACTACATCCTTTGTCCTCTGATCCGCTTTAGAATAACCTTTCTTGAAAGACTTTTCTATACCCTTCTCTTTTATTCCTGTCTTCTATTCCATTCTCTCCTATGTTGTCTCTAATCAGGGTTTGGCGCCTTATCAAAGTTACCAATAATGTCCACAGTTACTTTGCAGTTAATGTTTCAGTTTGTAAGAGGGAATATCTTCACACACACAATCCCCCACAGACGCACAGGAATAGTATAGTACTTCCATAGCATATATGAGGCCCTCGGTTCAATTCCCCAGTACCTGATGAAAGAAGAGAGGAAGAAAGAGGGAGGGAGGGAGGGAAAGCAGGAGAGAAGGAGGGAGCTTTTCACAAAACATGGATCTATGCAAGAACAAACCTATTGAGAAAAATGCTGCTGACATCATCATGGCTGATGGGGGGTTTCTTGGAGCTGGCTGCCATCCGCAGGGGCCGGAGGAACCCATTGACCAAGATGTAGAGCTGGTGCACGTATTCTGACTCTGCCTCCACCATGGTGAACACAATCTGATTTCTCTTCCTCATACTTTCAGCGTGTGGAGAACAAATATAGTCTTGCACAATGGTCTTCCATTTTCTTCTACACAGCCATCCTCTCATGAAGCTCTGAACCTACAGAACAAAAAGACAGAAAGGAACCTCAGGGAAGTGTAGACTGGCTTACTTGAGCCTGCCATGAAGTACATCCATCCCGTGCCTTATACAATCCTGTTTTCTTTCATGGGTGTCCTAGTGGTTACACCAGAATGGGAAAAAATGACAAGCATTTGCTAAAAAGCAAGGGGAAAAAAAGATGATCTAAAAGGTATTTTTCTCAGATTCACAAGTTTCTTCCACAACATAAGCCTGTCTACACTAACTCAAAATATTATATTCAATATTACTGTTTGGTGGCACTTGGGTTTGAATTCAGAGTCTCCAAACACTCAATCTCTGGCCTAAACCTCTGGCTCTGGAGCCATGGTCATAATTTTTCTAGTATTTTTAATAGATAAATAGGAGATACTAAGCAGATATATATAATATATATATATATCATAATCATTAACTCAAAGACTCTGCCAATAATCTGCTGATTATTGAACTCTGATCCTCTTTTTTCTAATATATAATTAGACTCCAAATAAAAGATCCTTTCTAAATATAAAAATTAATGATAATTAAGATTTGCCACTTTGGATGTGGTAGATGTATCAAGAAAGCACAGGTTGAAAATTCATAGAAAGTTAAAAACATTAATTTATGACTAAATCTGTTTTCAGATTTTTTTCATACTATTTTACCCATTTACTATAAATTATTCATTTAAACATCACCACTCCTTTGCGAGGTTTAAAGTTGCCTCATTTTTTTCAATTTTATATATGTATTAAGGTTGCTTATACCTCAAATAATAAAAATTAAGTATACATTAATAGAATTATATGGGAGAGATTATACGCATATTGTTTTTTTTGGAAATTTACGTTAAATTATCTATGAATTATAGCCATTTTCAAATTGTGGTCTTTTGAAGTAAAGAAAATACATTTTTGCCAAGATAAGAATAGAGAAATATCTGGGTACTGGTGGCTCATGTCTGTAATCCTAGCAATTCAGGAGACTGAGATCTAAGGATTGTGGTTTTAAGGCAGACTGGACAGGAAAGTCTTTGAGACGTGTATCTACATTAAGTCTCTCAAAAAGGCTGGAACTGGAGTTGTGGCCCAAGTTGTAGAGTACCAACCTTGAGCAAAAAAGCTCAGAGACAGCACCTAGGCCCTGAGTTCAAGCCCCAGGACCAGCACAAAGAGAAAGAGACAGACAGACAGACAGACAGATCATTCGTTTGTGAACATCTGTCTCTTTAAACAGATATTGGTTTGACTTGAGACAAAGAACAATAAAGTTAATTTCAAAGTCTATTTAACAAGTTCAAAAGTAGATTTAAAATTACCTCTATTAAGAATCATGAATGTAGAAAAATATATAAAAGCACTTATTTTATCATAACTCTTCCATTGAATAGAAGTATTTATAAAAATCAACTTAATTAAATTTTCTGTCAAGTAAAATCTCTCTGTTCACTTGAACAGGTGTTCTTTGCTGAACAATAGCTGGCTCACTTGTTTACTTACAGACCAGCTTGTATAACCAAACTGAAAATTAGATTTTATTAATATCTTTGTTTACATGCAGCTGCATACTATTAAAAGTAAAGCAATAACATTTCTTGTGACATAATAACATAAACCAGAATTAAGTAGAACATATAAATGCTAAGAAAAGAATAGTGTTATTTTACTATTTGACTAATTATTTATTGGCACCGAGGAGTGAACTCAGGGCTTAAATCTTACTGTATCAATGCTTAACCACTTGAGTCAGTTGTAGGTTTTGGTTTTTTTTCAACTGGATTCCTTACTAAGTTGGCCCAGGTGACCTCAAACAGAAAGCCTCCCATTCCCATCTACTGAGAAGCTGGGATTACAGGCATTAACCATTATACTCATCATGATTTTGAGATAAGATCTCATTCATTTTCACTCAGGCTGCCCTGGAACCTCTCAAACAGCTGATATTACAGTTACGTGTGCCACTATGCTTCATCTATATCTTTACTTCTTGAAAACTAAAAACGTAGTCCAAAGAGTCATTTCAATTTCAAGTTCTGAGCAGTATTTGGTTAAAGTTTTGTTTCACTTAAAACGGAGCAGAAAATAATAGGAAGAAATATAAATAAACAGATGCATATGCAGGAAAAGTTCTTTAAATTTGAAAGCTTTTACATAACATTAACCAAATCGGGTGTTTTACATGGACAAGTAAGATCACGGAATCAAAGCCTTAGTGACATGAATCAGAAGGCAATGGGCTGGAGTGAGTGCCAGGGTCTGCTTCCTTGTTTGATTCTAAATGACAGTAAGATGGAAAGTTCTATTTATGTGGTTGCTAAACAAGAGGCAATAATAATAAAACAAATCTGAGCTGATGTATTGATTGGTTCAATCCTCTCACATGAAAAAAAAATACCATTCCTAAATTACAGACTAACATTAAGGGAAATATTTTTGAAATGTAGTTTTTAAAAATCCCTACCAAATATGAAAGTATCACAAAACTAGGACATTCAACAGCTCTTCATTAACCTAAGTAGAGAATGCTATTGTCTCTTAATATTTGTTTTTCATTCTTCCCTAGTCCAAAAGAAGATTACTGCAACTGTAAAGAAAATTCAAGCTGAAGTTCTCCAGATGCAGCTATGTCTGCATCACTATGAAGGGCAAGTGTGGGTGTCATTAGCACAGAAATATCAAGGCTGTTTCCCAGCTCAGGGACATGGTGACGAAGGCATCACCATTGAATAGACAATTGGTCACCTTGTCCCCACAGAACCAGAAACCTTCAAAGTCCTACCTTTTTAATCTTCTTGATGTCTGGGTCTTCATCTTCCTGGTTGCTTTGGTAAGGGCGCATTCGTTCCTTCGTTTTATTCAGGGCAACAATCTGTAACACAAAATTGGTCCATCTCATGATTTAGGGAATCATGAAGTAGAATAGTAGGACAGAAGAGCTGCCTACCAGCCTAGTCCACCGAGATCTCAAGGGAACCATTGTATTTTGTGCACCTACTCTTCCTTTGGTGCTGAGGTAGAGGATGATCTTTACCTTAAGTTTGGTGTGACAATGCTGACAAGAAATGTTATAGAAAGTGTACACTGGGATCTACATTAGGGTAAAACTTGGTTCTGATTAACCAAGCCAACTCCTCCTCAGGACTTGAGTGATGTGCCTGTCACCTTGCCTGAACGCATTGTCCATGGAAACCTGTGCTTTCCACATGCAGGTGCTTAACTTGAAGGTCTTGTCCGTAATTGGCTTGTTTGGCCTTTCATGTGCATGCCATACAGAAGACACAGATCTCCTTAGGAAAATGGTAGTTATGAGGGAGAGCTCAGAGCCCTGATGTTGGCCTAAGCCAGCCAAACAGGTTCTTCAGAAGAGGAAGAAAGGATTATAGTGACCTAAATTCTCTATATAGCCCCAGACCAGTCCTGAGCACTGTGAGGCACAATTCAAGATCAAATGGCCTCTCGGCTACATACACATAGCAACAAAAATTCACCACAGATGCTTACAAGTATAAGAGTCCATACAGATTTACTAACAAGGAAACACATAAAGATTAGGAGACCATAACTGCCCACCTCTGATCTCTTTTTGTATCTTGTCTCCAATACCAAATATACTCCTCTACCATTGTCTGGTAGAAGAGTGGGGAAAATAAAGGGAGTAGGAAATAAATTATGGCTCCTGTCACGCAGCCACAGAAGACATACCTGCTACTGACAGTTTATAGCCGTGTTCTATATTCAGACTAAAATAGACTGTAGTGAAGACAGAGAAGCTCACACAAATAAATATTGGGGGACATCACTTGGTGCTAAGCTTCTCTCCTGGAGTAAATACCAACCTGCTTCACTCAGCAGACAAGCATCTGCTCTAGCTCACTGTGGTGAGGAGAGAACACAATAATTTTGTTTTAAATTACAGTGCCTGATATAGTCACTTAAAATGCAAGTTGGTTAAGTTTTCGGTTGCCGTTTTCATTATATCAGATACCAGTGTCAAACGAGGAAGCTGACAATTGTAAAGATACAGTGAACACAGTTGGAAACATCGTTCCCAGAGAAACTAGCACACCCCAGTTGGAACTGACTTGTACCATGTTCTGTGCACTAGTGTGATGTATCCAGGGAGCAAAGGGGGAAATTCCTCCCGGCATTCTGAGTGAGTCCCAGGAGGAGGTGAAAGGCAGAAAAAGAAATTGTTATTCCATGACAAGGAAAGTGCCAAGGCTAGGGAATTTGTGCTCTCTGTCAACAAGAATGCAAAGAGTAGGTTTCTTTTCTTTTGCCTGGATCCTTTCTTTGAATCTAAGAAATATGAATGCATTTGTGGAGGAAAATTTTACTTTCACTCATTCTAAAGGAGACAAGGTTGGACTTCGTAGATCTTTAAAAAGAAAGTCAAATATTTCTGAAGTAATTTCTGGTTTTTCCTTACTTGTGATTTTAGATTTTAATGACTCCAAAACAAACTCACAACTCCCACTCCAAAACCCAGTCTGAAAATAGTTACATATTATAGATAGCTGTTTAATTTCAGATCTAATTCAGGACATTAGGAGCACAGACGTTTTAAAAAAATGCTCTCCTGCTATGTCCATGTAATGTGCTTACCTAAACCAATGCAGACAAGAAATCCATGGTTAGGTCAGTAGCCCAGTATGTATGTATTAATGACAGAAGAATTCATCCTGGGATTAAAATTTTGCCCTCCATATGCCATGGATAATCATGCAGAGATGATAGTAGATGGGAAACAATGAGAAGGAATTTTCGACTGAGAAATACCTCTGATTTAAGCCTTTCAATTTCTGTATCTTGATCTTCAAGTTGATGCCGGAGTTGGTTAGCTGCGATTTTTTCTGTCTCTACAATCTGTACTAGATGAATGTACTTCTGCATTAACACCTCTCTTTCAATCAAAATGTCTGCATAACTGAAAAGAAAATTACAGTCAGTCATCAGAGCACTGTTCTATAATTTCACATAAAACAGTGTACACTACATTTAAAAAACAACCACCAAGCATTGCATGTTTGTAACCCTATCTTACATAAACATTCTCAGTGTATATTTGTCAACCTTCAGTGATACAGAATTTGAGTCATCATATCCTTGACTAAGAATTCATGTACTTAATTTTATCATATGAGCATAAAAAATTGCAAAGGAAATCTGAGTGATTTTAAAAAGTAGTGCATTTCCTTTATCAACGAAATTGAGGCCTTTTGAATTTATGACATATGGTTCCCAAGGTAACACTCAAAATATTTTCCCAGGTAAGGCAGAACAGTTGAAATAGACCTGTCACCAAGATGAATAAATGCAGTAACCTTGAGAATGAGTACTGACTGCAAAAAAAAATTTAAAAATCATATCATAACTATCCCACTACTAGATCTGCAAGAGTGTCTTTACAATTGTAACACCATCCAGTACACTCCTAAAACTGACAGAAGCAACATATATTTGGGCAGTAAGTTAAATTCCTTGGGATTACCTTCAGCTGTCTGTTTTTATTTCTTTGGCTGAGCATGGAAAAGACAAAACTCACTCTCGGGTTTCTATTGATAATGAAATCCTGGAGTACCTGTCTGATCCAATGCATATATCTTACCACAAATTAAATTATCTCTCAGTGGACAATAGTATCAGACTGTTTTGAAAACTATTCCCTCCCTGGCTTTGACCTTCTTAACTCTTCTTTGGGACGCTGCACCACAGCAGCCATGTTTATACTATAAAACCTACCTTTAAGATCAGGTTGAACCAACGTAAAATGGGATATGAAGCCCAAAATAAACAAAATCGATTTTTTTTTTCTTTTCAGGATCTGGGACTGTGCCCTGTCCTGCTTACTTAAACTGAGATGACATGAACCTGGAAACTTAGGATGCCATTGTTGGACAGCCTTGTGTGCCACAGCCATGCCAGAGCACTTAAAGCAAGTCTGCTTTGACTATTTCATAAGGCCGTTAAGGTTTTGTTTTTTAAACAGAAAACAAGTGAAGAATGGGCAGGTGTTCAGAAAGGCAGGTACAAAACAGGTAGGAAGCCTGAGACAGAAAAGGGTGGTTAGCTGGGGTAATCTCCTTCCAATAAATTCTCTTTCTAAACTACACTACTTTGAAATAATTTTGTGATACTTAGAATGAAAGTCTTGAGACAATTCTAAAAATTGCAATTTTAATTCAATAACACCCTCAACATTTACATCATGTGTGCTATTAGCATTAGAGAAGAACATTGCATCTGCTATATTTTTAAGTCATTTGCTCCAAATTACTTGAAGAGCATAGAAAGAAGAGCTATGTAAGTATAAGTGAGAGGAGGAGAAAGAAGAAAAAAGGAAAGCAAATCTTCATTAAAAGATTTTGTAGAAAACTCTAAAGGAGTAAATAATAATAAAGCTTTAGAAAAGTTATTCTATACTTCTGTCTTTCACATCTACTTTCTTAGTAATATGTTAAATTAGGTTGCACAGTGGTACTTAATTTTCTTTTTGAAATAAAAGAAGTGTAAGCTCAATACAGGATGCAGGCTTGAGTTCATGTAGACACATACTGATACCTGCCCACTTCATCTCTGAAGTCCCACTGATATGCTCAGAAAATTGTTTTCTGTTTAAAAAAACAAAACCTTAATGGCCTAATGAAATAGTAAAATATGTCATCAAAAGGAAAACTAAGCAGAATTAGTTCAATGGAAAGACTGGAAAACAGAGTTGCAAAGCCCTGCAGGAATCTGACTTTCACCAAGAGTGGCCCAAGAAGCACCAAACTCAGAATCAACCATCGCAAAGAATGGGACTTGCCTGGACCACAGACAAGGGCTTACAGAGCATTCAGAAGTTTGGCTCCTCCTACATGCCCCCAAAATAAAGAAATAAAAGAGAAATGGTATCCCCTCTGTACATCACCTTTATAATAATTTTTAAAAAGAAATAAAGCATACAATTGGCAATGGTGGCATGTCCTAGATCTGCTCTCTGTAGAAAATGGGGCCATCTTCTAACAAAGGTTCTTAATGAGGGAGATAGACTTGGAGAGAACAGAGCTGAGGTTTACTCCTGGCACCACTGTTGATCCAAGGAAGAACTAAAAAAGGAAAGGAATCAAGAGTGCCTAGGAGTGAAATATATTGGGTTACTTGTCTATTGTGAAACAGATTACCTCAAGTCAGAGATTTAAAAAATAGATGTTTATTATAAAAGTGCCGGTGGCACTTCCAAGATTAGTTCACAAGAAGACACTGGCTTCCATCTCACTTTCCTTCCCTTCCTCTCTTGTTGATCTGCTTGGAAGGCAGACAGCTTCCCAGCTGTGAGTTTCTCTATTCAGACTTCCATGGTAAATAGAAACTGAGAGAGGCCTCTCACCAAAAACCATTGAAGAACTCAATTCTGTACATCAACCCTTAAGGAATGAATTTAGCCAACCACCTTGTAAGTAACGTTGGAAGCAGATCCTCTCCATCTGAGCATTTGGCTGAGATCACAGACCTAGTCAATGCCATGACTGTACATTGTAAGAAACTTTTAAACACAGGCACCCAGCTAAGCTAGGCCTGGAGTCCTGACCTACAGAAATTGTCAGGGTGTGATTAGATGTTTATTTACCAAATGTTGGAGGGGAAATTGTTAACTAGCAACAGGTAACAATTATAGCCCAAGTGAACAAACAGAAGACACTATAGGAAACAAGAATCAATCATGCAGCAGAGATTATTATCTTCAGAGAGATAGGAATGGATATTAGAGACATAAAGCAAAAGGAATCTGTCGTGGAAAAGAAGCAACCACAAAATAATAAGAGGTATTGGAGACAAAATAAATGCCAATGAAAATTTTATAGGTCAGTGGATTCACTAACAAATAAGGCAAATGTGGCTAAAATCTAAGCTAGATGATCAGAAAGAAAGAGAGAAAATAAAAGGCTATCAACAAGAAATAAAATTGAGGAGTTTTTCTATGATTATCCATTCTTTATAAGACCAAATACTTACATTAATTCTTTGGTATATAATATTGGTATAGCCACTATGTAAATTGCCTATTTTTTATTTTTATCTATTAGCATATTAATTGTATACATTATTGATGCACAGCATGATATTTCAATACAGGCATACATCACATGCTGATTGAATCTGTATAATTAGTGCTTCCCTTCCCTATTGCTTCTTTACATTTGGAGCCTCTGAGTAGCTTTCTTCTAGGTCTTCATAAAATATAAAATAGTTTATTATGAGCTATAGGCATCCCACTGTGCTGTGGAATACCACAGTTTATTCCTTCCATCTATCTGTGCTTTGGCACCTACCCCACTTACTAGTTTTTAATTTTCAGATTCATCCATGGCAAAGCACAGAGACTTAATTGAATTTAGAGAACAGAATATAAATGCTTTAAAATGTGCAAAGTGAGAATAAATAATAAAAGTAATAAACATCAAGAGTATATGAGACCTTAAAATGTCTTCATTTATTTATCATATCTTTCCTAGCAGAGCACTAACACATTACTGCTTATAAATCAATAGAGATTTAATTATATTATTTTAGGACATAAAGTCGAATAAGTTAAGTGTCAAAAATATGTAAATACCAAATCAGAAGGAGAAAAGGATAGGACATAAGAGGATTGTATTCAAACTTTCATATCACTTAAAGTCAATCACAAACACACAAAGTATACACAGAACATATCAAGCTTCAGCAACCAATAAAAACTATTTATCAAATGAAATATAGAACTATCCTCTGATCCAGTGATACAACTTTTATGCATCTATCCAGAATACTGGATACAGTAAAGACACCTGTACATCCATGTTCATTGTCACACTATTCACGATACCCAGGTTATAGAAAGAGCCCAGATTCCCTACAGTGGATGAGTGGACCAAGGAAATGTGGTATAGGTATACAATAAAAGTTTACTCATCTACTAGAATGAATAATAGTATGTTATTTACAGGGAAATGGATGCACCTAGAGAAAACTAGGCTAAGTGAAGTTAGGCTCAGAGAGACATTTTCTTTCACATGTGGAAGCTAGATCTAAAATACAAATGTGCATAATAACATATAGAGAGCTCTATGTATATACCCACAAACAAACTGACTAAAGAATGATATACTTAGGGGAAGATTCCAAAAGGTGTAACTCCTCTGAACAACTAATGAACTGTTATCAAAATGAATACCAGGAAGTAGAAATATGTTTTGGGGAGAGAGGACACATGAATGGAGGAAAGAAGCGTGAACAGAGGAAGGTTATGTTAGTCAATGTACATTATGTAAACATTAACTACATAACTTGAGGGTAGGGGTGGAAGGAGAAATAATGGAGGAGAAAAACAGAAGGGGTGACACTGATCAAGAAACATTGTACCCATAACCTGACTAATGGAATTGTAACCTTTTTGTACAACTACTTAAGATTTTAGAAAGTTATGAGTTAATTGAAAAGGTCATCATTTCATATATCAATAAAAATTTGTAACGCAAATTTTTTTTCAAAATTTGCTTAACTTTATTTTTAACTAGTCCTGGGGTTTGAACTCAGGATGTAGGCGCTGTCTTTGAGCCTCTTCGTGCTCAAGGCTAGCTCCCTAGGACTTGAGCCACAGTGCCATTTCTGGCTGTTTTACGTAGCTTATTTTGGAGAGAAGAGTCTCCCAGGTAGATCAACAAGGGAAGGGGTAAAAATGCTCAACAAAAAAAATGTACTCATTACTTTACTCACGTAACTGTAACCCCTCTGTACAGCATCTTTACAAGAAAATAAAATTTAAAAAGAGTCTCCCAGGGACTTTTCTGCCTGGGCTGGCTTCAAATTTTGATTCTCAAATCTCAGCCTCCTAAGTGGCTAGGATTACAGACATGAGCCATGGGCACCTGGCTGTTAAGGTTTTTGTTGTTGTTGTTTGTTTGT